CATGAAATGCAACACTACCATCAGCTGTTCATCAAGTCAGCTGTTAATAAATTTCTTTCGAAGTTTGAGAGGAGGGGGACTTTTTGGCAAGTTATATTCAACCGAATTGACTGGAATTTGGTATTTTGGGTTCTCATTGGGTATCAAATCTTTGTTCCAAAAATCGATCGATATTGGTCCACTTTTTACAATGGTCCCAAATATTTGATATTTTAAAGACTTTTTGCATGTTTTTCAACGGAAATGACTGAAATTTGGTATTGTGGGTTGTCATTGAGTAGAAAATTAACCTACCAAAAATTATATAACGGTACCGCTAAATATTCGATATTATTGGGATTTTTGGCATGACTTTTAATCGAATTAGCTGTAATATGAAATTTTTGGTACTCTTTGGGATATACATCCGCCTACTAAAAATTATCAACATTGGTCCAACGGTAACGGTACCCTAAAAAAATCGCTATGTTAGGGATTTTTGGTATGTTTTTCAAAAGAAATGGCTGTAATTTGGTATTTTGGATACTTAATAGATTACACAGTCTCTTACTTATTGGTTTACTTTATTATCATAGCCCCCATATAACAGTACCCTCAAATATTCGGTATTTTAGGGATATTTTGCAGGTTTTTCAACCGAATTGGCTGTAATTTGGTATTTTAGATTATCATTGGGTTGCACATCCTCCCACCAAAAATTTTCAATATTGATCGACTTTTTACCATAGCCCCCATATAACGGTACCCCCTAAAATTCGGTATATTAGAGATTTTTTGCATTTTTTTCAACCGAATTGGTTGGAATTTGGTATTTTGGATTCTCATCGGGTTACACATCCTCCTACTTATCAATATTGATCCACTTTTTACGAAAGCCCCCCATATAACGGTAGCCCCAAATATTCGGTATTCACGGGATTTTTGGCTTACTTTTTAACCGAATTGGCTGTAAGGTGGTAATTTGGATTGCCATTGAGTAGAAAATCTCCCTACCAAAAATAATCAATATTGCTGCACTTTCTAGGCTAGCCCCCATATAAGGCTATATGTCAAATTTCGATATTTCGGGGAGATTGAGATTGTGTTTCAACCTAATCAGCTGTAATTTGGTATATTGGCTTCTCACTGAGTAGAAAATCTCCATACCAAAAATTATCAATATTGGTGCACTTTTTAGGGTAGCCCCCATATATGGCTATATCCCAAAAGCTTGAGCTCGTGTTTCAACCAATTTTGCTGTATTTCGGTACTTTGGCTTCTCATTGGGTAGAAAATCTCCCTACAAAAACATTTGAATATTGTCCCATGTTTCGGGATATCTCCCATATAACGTTAACCTACAAAATTCGGTATTTTGATGCCGTTAGACACATTTTCCAACCGAATGTGGTGTAATTTGGTATTTTGACATCTAATTGGGTACCAAAATTTATCAACATTGGTGCACTTTCTAGGCTAGTCCCCATATATGGCTAGATCTCTAATTTTGGTATTTCGAGGAGATTGAGCTCGTGTTTTAATCACATTGGTTATAATTCGGTATTTCGACTTCTCATTGGGTAAAAACCAAAAATTCTCAATATTGGTCCACTTTCTAGGGTAGCCTCCATATAACCCAATATCCCACATTTCGATATTTCGGGGTGCTTGAGCTCTTGTTTTAACCAAATCAACTGTAATTTGGTATTTTGACTTCTCATTGGGTATGAAACCTCGCTACCAAAAATTATCAATATTGGTCCAATTTCTAGGTTAACCTCCATAAAAGACTATATTCCGAATTTCGATAATTCGGGGAGCTTGAGCTCATATTTCAATAAAATTGGTCGTAATTTATTTTGGATTCTCAATTTGGCTTATTGGATTCCTGATGATGCATCACAAAAAATTAAAAAAAAGTCTCGTTTTATTTTCGTTATCTTGAAGTACAAAATTTGAATTTTCTGTCCATAACCTCAAAATTTTCTTTTTATTATTTTAAATAAATGTCATGAAATTGAGTTTCATTATTTTTTTTATGTGCTGTTATTTAAAAAGAAATATACAAGCAAATTTAAAAAAATAAGTTTAATAACAAATTCTATGAAACCTTTTTTGTACATAATCTCAAATTTCAGTTTCATCTCCAATTTTCACGAAGACAATTTACCAATTAACATTTTTTTAATTAAAAAACACAAAAATAAAACCCAACAACCACAAGTATATATGTTTAGGTATTAAATTATAAAAAAATAACATAAAAATTCCAAAACAAAGAATTAAAAAATGAAGAAAAAAAAAAACGAAAAATACAATACCAAACCAAAAACTACAAGAAAATAATGTTTTTAAAACAACAACAAACCAATTTATTCTAAAAAAACAAATCCTTCAATAATTTAACGAAACTAATTTAGAAATTAAAGAAATAAGTGGAGTCACTCAACCACACACACACAAATGCGATCCATTAAATTTAAAGAAACACAAATAAAAAACAACAAAAAAACAAATATAATAAATAAGGAAATTGTTTAAATGAATTTTAGTATTAGCTTATAAAAAACAATAACAATTGTAACCTATGAAGAAAACAACAACAATTATTAATTATAACTAAAAAAATATTTAAAAAAAAACCAAAAAAATAATTCTCAAAGTTTTGTCACTCCAGTGATGACAATGTTTATGATAATGACGACGATGATGATACTCTATTGAAATGAACAAAAAAAAATAAAAGATGAAAATCTTTAAAAAAATTCATACTAAAAAAAGGTAAAATAAAAAAAATATTACAAAAAAATATATAATACCATTATTATTATTATTAGAAATGTAATGCAAATACAAGAAAATATATGAATCAAAAAAAAAATGTTTGGGAATTTTGTTTTATTAATTTACAGTCTGTTTTAGAACAATTCGGAAAAAAGAATTTTAGAAATACTTTTTTTTAAAAAAATCTGTCAAAACATGGACATGAATGTCAGCCTTCAAGAACCCTTGATATCAAATTACCACCCACATCGGTGGCAATAAATGCCTTAAAAATACCGAAAATCGGCTGGTACCGTTAAATGCAGCTAAATCTAAACGTAAGACCCATGGGAAACCTAGGTACGATTATATGGGGGATACACGTAAACTTGGGACAATATTGATAATTATTGGTAGGGAGATTTTCTACCCAGTGAGAAGCCAAAATACCAAATTACAGCCGATTAGGTTGAAACGGGAGTTCAATCTCCCCGAATTATTGAAATTTGGGATATAGCGTTATATGGAGGCTACCCTAGAAAGTGGACCAATATTGATAATTTTTGGTAGGGAGATTTTCTACTCAGTGAGAAAACAAAATACCAAATTACAGCTGATTAGGTTGAACAACAAGCTCAAACTCCTCGAATTATCGAAATTTGGTATATTACCTTATATGGGGGCTAACCTTGAAAGTGAAACAATATTGATAGTTTATGGTAGGAAGATTTTCTACCCAATAAGAAACCAAAATACCAAATTACAGTCAATTCGGTTAAAAAACAGACCCAAATGTATAAAAAAAGAGAATAATTTGTGGTACCGTTATATGGAGGCTACTCTAAAAAGTGGACCAACATTGATAATTTTTGCTATGGAGATTTTCTACCAAATCAGAAACCAAAATACCAAATTACACGTGTTTAGGTTGAAACACAAGCTCAAACTCCCCGAAATATCGAAATCGGGGATATAACGTTATATGGGGGCTACCCTAAAAAGGGAACCAATATTGATAATTTTTGGTATGGAGATTTTCTACCCAATAAGAAACCAAAATATCAAATTACAGCAAATTTGGTTGGAAAACGTGCCAAAATCATGACACACCTTTAATATGAGGGCTACCCTTGAAAGTGGACCAATATTGATAATTTTTAGTAGGGAGATTTTCTACACAGTGAAAATCCAAAATACCAAATTACAGTTCATTAGGTTGAAAAACGAGCTCAAGCTCCCCAAAATATCGAAATTTGGCATATAGCCTTATAGCATAGAAAGAGGACCAATATTGATAATTTTTTGTAGGCAGATTTTCTACCCAATGAGAAGTAAAAATTCTAAATTACAGCACATTCGATTGGAAAATCATGTCCAACGACATCAAAATATCGAATTTTGTAGAGTAAAGTTACATGGGAAATACCCCGAAATATGGACCAATATTGATTTTTGGTAGGTAGATTTTTAGTTCAATGAGAATCCAAAATATAGAATTATAGCCAATTTAGTTGAAACATAAAATAAATCTCCCCAAAATATCGAAATTGGGGTTATAACGTTATATGGAGGCTACCCTAAAAAGTGGACCAATATTGATAATTTTTGGTAGGGAGATGAGAAGCCAAATAACAAAATTAGAGCCAATTGCTCAGATGTATCAAAAAACTTATATTTTCAGGTCCTGTACCAGGTCCCATGTATACCATTTCCAATACCAATCATCCTAGGAGTAATAGTTATATAAATATGCAAAAATTCAAAGCTCTATCGTACCTAAATCGGCATAGAATCATTGAGGTTCGGGTTTCATGTGTATCCCTTTTCCAACTCAATTTATATTTGGATCTAAAGCAATTATTTCTCTGCCTTAGCAGAGTTACAATGGGGTTTTCATGACCGTTCGAGATAGTTATTAGCAATGGATTACAATAATTTAGTTTTCTGTGTTTTTTTTTTTTAATTTCAAGCATCACAAATTGTATGCCTTCGTATTTGAGCCTTTTTTCTGAAAAACATTCGGGATGACTAAAATCACACATTAATAAATGTCACGCCAACAAACCGGGTTCACATTGTTTAACAAATGGGGTTTTTTTATTTCATTATTTTTTACAACACATCGGATTTTTTAAAATCCTTGTGCAAATTTTGGTTATTTCCCAATAGAAATCACGATTCTTCAGTATCTCGATCTATGTTTAAACTAAATTTAATTGAAACTAAACAATGGTGTTGCCTGTCTGCACATTCGGCCATTTAGTTAGTTTCAAAGGTATAATGTTTACGACCATCACCAGGATATTGTTTAACTGCCACAGGACGATACATGCGATAGTTTTCCAACCAGTAATACAGGGCAAGGCAGCCAGCCATGCAACCCAAAAAGCCCAGCCAATATGTGCTGTTGGCATAACGGGGTGGTGCAGGCTGGGACCAACGATCTTCACTGTACAAATCGGATTCGGCATGGAACTGGAAGCAAAAAAAAAAACCCAAAATCAGTAACCTTCAATAGGAAAATATGCCGAATCTACTCACAGTTTCATGCAAATTCCTCTTCAATTCGGGAAAATCATATGGATAGAAGGGATCACGGGCCTCAATACCCAGACCACCCTTCAACTGGGGATAATCACCATAACCCAAACCATTATCGGCATAGGGTTTGTATTCTTCGGGCAGTAGGAAATACTTTTTGGCAGCAGCCTCACGTTCAGCATCGCTTTGTGGGAATTTACCAGCCTTGTAATCCTTATTCCAACCGGCCACTAGACAAAAGGAGGAACAGCAACAACAACAAAACATTAACACCCATCACATCAAAACATTTTTAGGGTTACGTAAACCATCAAGATTTTTGCTGGATTTCGGAGCAAAAAATTGCGCGAAATCGATTTTGCAGGTTGCGAACTTACTTGACCGGGCTGCCTGACGCAACACAGCTGGATTATTGGCTGTCAATTTTTGTACCAATTTGAAAGTATTCATTAAAGAAGCCATTCTGGCAGCTGGTTAGGAAGTCTCTTTCCTATGATTTTCACAGCACGGTCCAAAAATAGGGATTACTAGATCGAGGATTGTTTTAAACGATTAATCGATAGTCTTTGTTGTTCGCAAATCGATAGTTTTAATGGAGAAGAAATCGACAGTGAGCGCCTATAAGTATGCAAAAATTTAGAATACTGTACAGTGCATGTGTGCATTAGGGTATCATAGGCTAAACCAAAATAGGCGTAGATTTAATAAAAAATATTTTTTATGGACCAAAATAAGCGTAGATTTACTAAAAATATTTGTATGGCCCAAAATAGGAGTAGATTTATTAAAAATAAAAATATATTTCTTCAGGCCTTAAACGGCATTTACATTAAAACTTTTTACCGGATTAAAGTAGTATTTATTTGACAGAATTGACAATTTAAACCTATTGGGTTAACGTAATCCGGTACAATGTAAACGTACTATTAGGGACTTAAAATAGGCGTAGATTTATTAAAAATATTTTACTTCAGGGCCTTAGAACCTAAAATAGCAGCGGAATTATTAAAAATATTTTACTTCAAAGGCTTAAAGCCTAAAATAGGCGCAGATTTATTAAAAATATTTTACTTCAGGGCCTTAGAACCTAAAATAGCAGCGGAATTATTAAAAATATTTTACTTCAAAGGCTTAGAGCCTAAAATAGGCGCAGATTTATTAAAAATATTTTACTTCAGTGTCTTAGAGCCTAAAATAGGCGTGGATTTATTAAAAATATGTTACTTTAAGGTCTATCCTCTGCTGTCGATTTATTAACAATATTTTACTTCGAGGCCTATCCTCAGGCGTAGATTTATTAAAGAGCCCTCCACACGTTGATCACCCTTATGGGTGACATTTTGTTTCGGGATGTTCTCAATAGCCTTTTCCTGTGCCTTTTCACTAGGGTTCTGCTTCGAGTTGGGCTTCAGGTCAGAAGTCGGCTTGGCACCTTTGTCAGAGACTGTGGGCTTCGCCGATTCTACAACTTTTGTGCGAGCAGTAGGATTCGGGATGGAGCTGCTGTTCATCTCGATTTCACGATGGAGAGCGTACGAATAGATTCTTTCGAACTTTCTTATGTATCTCATTTTATCCTTGATGAGGTGTACCCCCCTCTCCGAAATCAAATTCGCGTCTTGCCCCACGAATTTGCGGAGATACGAAACAGCACGTTTGTAATGTTTCGCATCAGCTACTTCTCGGGCTTTCCCAACCTTTGAGCCGCTGTCCGTTGCTGGGGTCTCAACAGATTCCCCATCGTGGGACATCGCCTCCGTCGCAGATTGCCTCTGAAGTTTATTGTCGGCAAGTGCCGACACAGGACCTGTTGTAGTCGGTCAACAGGGTCTGAGCTTCCTTCTTTAATACTACAACAATCCCCCTGTTTAGACTTGATTGCGATCACCGTGGTGTCCAGCTCATCATCAGTTAGGGTAAGATTTAGTAGCAGTTCCTCCGGAAGCGTATCCCCACATTGCTCTTCCGGTATCAGTCTGTCTAACTGCTCGAAGAGTCCCTTACTTTATTGCTCTAGACTATAGCGGATAGCGTCCCAGAACTACAGTCCTGTCAGCCAGAGACTGATTTTTATCAGTCTTGACATGCTCATTTGCCAAATGAATAGCCGGCTCGTCAACGTTTTGATTAAGATTTGATGCACTTGTAACAGATACAGCTGCAGGTGTTAAGGCATCTACACCTAGAACAGCCGGATCACAATCGCTTGATCTCACCAACGATTGCCGCCGGTACTGGGTTATAAACTCCCTGCACCGTAACTTTATTCTTTTTGTTTCTTTTACTCATCGTAGTTGAATTATTTAAGGGCACTACCCCGATCCATTTTGTCCACGAGGGATCCGAAGATCCCTAAAGTTTCCCCGAAGTGCAGAGAAAAGTTGATCTTGGAGACCTAGGTTAGTTTCACTCTGCACATCATGGAGACCCCCTTCCCATCCGCCACCCGGGAAGACGCGCCTAGCAGGATATTGGCAACTCCCCTAATTGGCATTTGAGATCAAGTGGATTTCGTAAATCTAAACGTACCTCTACTGTTTACCGGAATTCTCAATTTTGACCCACTGGAAGTCAAAACTCAAATTTGACTCGGATATTCCATTATAAATTCACATTAAATACAATGTAACTTATAGAATCATGCCTGAAATCCTTGTACGTGTCACCCTCAATATGCCTCTCAGAAATATTCCTTAAAAACAGATCAATTTGTTAATTTAATTCATTTTAACCCATTTCCCATAAAAACAAGGTTTTACAACACTAGAATCAATAAAGTCACATTCGATTTCTAAATCCCTAACTCTAATGTCATCAATGTCATTTGCTTTATACCAAAGACGACTTACAGATCCCTAACACCGGCTTGCCTGACGTGCTGTGTTTTAAGACAAGTTAATTTTTTGTTGAAATAATTTTAACAAAATAGCACCAGGGCTTTAAATTTTTTGCCTGAAGACTACATCAGGGAACACACTAGGCCGCAATTTAAATTTCTACATAAAAAACGCTCCAGAAAAATCCAACAAAATGTCTGTACGGGATCAAATTAAAATCGATATTGTAAGTAGTAATATGGTGGCGAATTCCATGGCGATTTTTTTGGAGGGAATTATTAATAATTGATTATCTTCCTAGGAATGGGGCCATGAACGTTTGGTGCGGGCCCAACAAGTGGTTGAAATGCGTCCCTATGATATTGAATCATGGTCTACACTGCTACGGGAGGCCCAACTGCGTCCGGTCAATGAAGTGCGAAGCTTATATGAGTCTTTGGTAAATGTTTTTCCCACCACTGCCCGTTACTGGAAAATCTACATTGAACAAGAAATGAAGGGTCGGAACTTTGAAAGAGTGGAGAAATTGTTTCAACGTTCATTGGTTAAGATTTTAAACATTGATTTGTGGAAGCTCTACTTGACCTATGTCAAGGAGACGAAGGCGGGATTGAGTACACACAAGTAAGTATAGTGTCAAAATTAATTAATTAGTCAGACCTAATAATGTAATTTGTTACAGAGAAAAATTGGCCCAGGCTTATGATTTTGCTTTGGAAAAAATTGGCATGGATTTACATTCCTTTTCCATATGGCAAGATTACATATCGTTTTTACGTAGTGTGGAGGCGGTGGGCAGTTATGCAGAGAATCAAAAAATCACAGCTGTCCGAAGGGTTTATCAAAAGGCTGTTGTAACACCCATTGTGGGTATTGAACAATTGTGGAAGGACTATATCCAGTTTGAACATGGCATAAATCCTATTATTTCGGAAAAGATGAGCTTGGAGAGATCGAAGTAAGTAAAGAATATAAAAATATATTTACAGAAATTATACATGGAAGATAAAGGAAGAATTTGAAAGTAATTGGGCTGCAGAGAATTTGTGAGAGAAGTATGAATATTAGGTTCTTCCAGGAATTGAAGTTTTCCTATAGAAAACATAATTCAGCCCGGCTGAATTAAAGTTTGCCTATAGAAAACCTAATCCAACCAGGCTGAATTGAAGTTTGCCTATAGAAAAACTAATTCAGCCTGGCTGAATTGAAGTTTTCCTACAGAAAACCTACAGAATCGTATAGAAACCCTAATTCAGCCTGGTTGAATTGAAGTTTTTCTATAGAAAACCTGATTCAGCGTGGCTGAATTGAAGTTTTCCTATAGAAAACGTAATTCAGCCTGGCTGAATTGAAGTTTGAAATATACAATCTTATATTAACTCATGTCTTGCATTTTCCTCCATAGGGATTATATGAATGCTCGCCGTGTCGCCAAGGAATTGGAGAACATAACAAAAGGTCTGAATCGTAATCTACCTGCCGTACCACCGAATTTATCTAAAGAAGAAACCAAACAAGTAAATCAAACATTTTCCACAACAAAAACATCCTCCAAAATTCCCAAATCTAATCCCACATTCTCTTTCCCCACCACCATAGGTTGAGCTGTGGAAAAAATTCATTGCCTTTGAGAAATCAAATCCTTTGCGTACCGAAGATACAGCTCTTATAACACGTCGTGTTATGTTTGCCACAGAGCAATGTTTGCTGGTGCTGACCCATCATCCAGCTGTTTGGCATCAGGCGGCACAATTTTTAGATCAAAGCTCTAAGGCTTTAACTGATAAAGGAGTGCGTATTGTGTTTTCCTATAATTTTATGTTTCAGAGTTTTCAGCATTTTATGGAAATGGTGGTGACGGTGATCCAAGGCGTATTATTGCCAATGCATATTGTTGTACTTGGCCTATTGATAAAAATATCAATAAACTATGAGGCTTTAAGGTCTCATTTAAACATACAAATTGAAACTGAATGGATTTTTTATTTGACTACCCAATGACAATGTCTGGAGGTATTGAAGAAATTGCATTATTGTTGTCCTAATAATTTAAACATTAAATACTGGATTCAACTAAATTTTAAATTTAAAAAAATATTTCTAATATTAATTTAAATATCTTCATTGAAAAAATGCAATTCCTTTGATGCTTCCCAGGACATTTCTTTATTATGTGTGTGTGTTTTATATACTTACTTTATTATATTGAAAATTCTGTATTGATTTTGAATTAAACTAATATTTTATTATTGTCGTCTGCCGATTAGGATACCCAAGCTGCTAAAATCTTTGCTGATGAATGTGCCAATATTTTGGAGCGTTCCATTAATGGCGTGTTGAATAAAAATGCATTGTTGTATTTTGCCTATGCCGATTTTGAGGAAGGACGCATGAAATATGATAAGGTTCATGCCATGTATAATAGTTACCTAGCCATTCCAGATATTGATCCAACATTGGTAAGTAAAAATCGAAGTAATTTTTTAAATTAAAATAAATTTTTGTTAAAAAATAGTCCTAAAGAAAAGATTTCCTAAAGGAAACTTAAATCCGCAGGACTGAATTGAAGTTTTTCTATAGAATTGAAAATTTTCCTAGATCTATTTTTAAAGATTTTATATATATTTAATATAAATCTCATTTCTCTTCCAGGCCTATGTCCAGTACATGAAATTTGCCCGCCGTGCCGAAGGCATTAAATCGGCACGTGCGGTCTTCAAGAAGGCCCGTGAAGATGTACGTTCGCGTTATCATGTCTTTGTGGCTGCAGCTCTCATGGAATACTATTGTTCCAAGGATAAAGATATTGCATTTCGTATTTTCGAATTGGGTTTGAAACGTTTCGGTGGTAGTCCCGAATATGTTATGTGTTACATTGATTATCTGTCGCATTTAAATGAGGATAATAATACTCGGGTGTTATTTGAACGGGTACTATCCTCGGGTGGCCTGACCCCACAACACAGTGTAAATATATGGAATCGTTTCTTGGAATTTGAATCGAATATTGGTGATCTATCGAGTATTGTTAAGGTGGAGCGGCGACGAAGTGCCGTGTTGGAGAATGTGAGTTGAGGAGGAGGCTTATAAGGATTATTTTTTATTAATTGTTCCTCTTTTCTTTTCTTTAGTTAAAAGAATATGAAGGCAAGGAAACGGCCCAATTGGTAGATCGTTATAAGTTTTTGGATTTATATCCCTGTACCACAATAGAATTAAGATCCATTGGTTATACAGAGGTAAGTGTCACCTTTTCGGTTCCTATGTCTATAAATTAAATTAATTTTCTCTTTTTAGAATGTGGGTATAACCCTAAATAAGCTGCCAACGGCCGCTGTTCCAGGTGCCCCTGCAGTCAAAGAGGAGCCTGAAACTGAACCTGCTGTGCAATTACCCAAACCTGATTTTTCACAATTTATACCCTTCAAACCCAAGGCAAATGCCTATCCTGGGGCTCATCCCCTGGCTGGAGGTGTTTTCCCCCAACCACCGGCATTGGCTGCCTTATGTGCAACACTGCCGCCTCCCATTTGTTTTAGGGGTCCCTTTGTGTCCATTGAAATGTTATTCGATATTTTCAATCGTATCAAGCTTACGGATGGTATAGAAATTGTCCTAAATATCTCAATTTTTTTATTAACATGTTTGTTTTGATTTAGCTCCCCCACTACCCTCTGGCGATCCTGGTTGTGATACGAAAATCTTTGATTTGGCCAAATCTGTACACTGGATTGTCGATGAAAGTGTTTGTTCGGGTGATGCCACGGTAGGCATTAAGCGGAGGCGAATGCTGCCCGGCGGCGATGATAGTGATGAGGAGACCCCCACTGCTGCCCCACCGGTTAATGACATATATCGCCTAAGGCAACAGAAACGTTTTTCCAAGGTGTAAATCACCGATGAGGAGGTGAAAAAACGACCACGTTTTTTTAATTAATTTATTGTACAATTGTTTTTTATATATAATTATGCGATGATATACATACCTACATACATATATACACTATAATGATAAAGCTACATATACACACAAATAAAGAAAACAGGTGAACCTTTTCAAAAAAAAAACCTTACCCTGGATCTATTTGTGGACTTATTTTCAAAATAATGGGCAATGGCAAATATCAATGCGATCACCTACCAGAAACCTAATTCAGCCAGGTTGTTGTTTTTTGAATCGCTTTTGGCCCTTTGGGCTAGATTCTCGTTTATGAAATAAATTGAAATTGAAATTGAATTGTTGATTTCCAACCAGAAACCTAATTCAGCCAGGCTGAATTGCAGATTTCCTAACAGAAACCTAATTCAGCCAGGCTGAATTGCAGATTTCCTAACAGAAACCTAATTCAGCCAGGCTGAATTGTAGATTTCCTAACAGAAACCTAATTCAGCCAGGCTGAATTGTAGATTTCCTAACAGAACCTAATTCAGCCAGGCTGAATGGAGGCTTTCCTAAATGAATGTGGGCCCTAATATCATGTTTGTTATCGTATATCGTATCTGTTGAATAAAACACACTTTATTTTACCAAAGCTTTATGTTGTTGTATTTATTTTTTTATTGATATGACATCGGTTTATTTTTTATATATTTTCGTTTACATAAAAAACACTTATTTTGTGCATTTATTTTTATTATTTGTTAGTTAGGCTATTTTACATGGCGAGGAAATTAGTTTGATGGTTGAAATTAAAATTTTGGGTTTAATAAAAAAATTAAAATTAAAAATTATTTTTTTTAATATATTTTTTACACTATACACACAATATAAATATTTGTTTTTAGTTTTCGTTATTTTTTAATATTTATTATAAATATATTTTCTTAATTTAAATATGTTTTATTTTAAATAAATTTTATTTTTTGTTTTTCTTCAAATATTGTAGAAAATATTCTTATAGAAATATTAGGAACTCTAGGATCGTTTTTATTTTAGTTATACATTGTCGCTTATGCTATATATATGTAATAAATATGTATATGCCTTTATATAAATGTGTGTATGTATATAATATCTTAAGTCATTTAATGCGAGCAAATGGTTTCTAGGATTTTTTTTGTTTCAGTAAAGTTTTTATTTTATTAAAATATTAATATATATTAAAAAATAAATTGTAATTTAATAAAAAAAAATCAACTATAAAATGTCGGTCGATCGGTATATATACCAAAAAATCGGGAAGGACATATATTTTGAAAATTCTTTGCAAGGAGTATTTTTATCCTCTTCTGTTGGAAATAAAAAAGGCTGAATTGAAGTTTTCTCAACGGAAACCTAATTCAGCCAGGCTGAATTGAAGTTTTCCTATGGAAGACCTAATTCAGCCAGGCGGAATTGTAGTTTTCGCAACGGAAACCTAATTCAGCCAGGCTAGATTGAAGTTTGCGCAATCGGACATCTAATTCAGCCAGGCTGAATCGATGTTAGCCCATAATAAATGTAATTCTGCATTGAAGTTTTCTCAATGGAAACCTAATTCAGCCAGCCAGAATAGAAGTTTTCGCCATCGGAAACCTAATTCAGTCAGGCTGAATTGATGTTTTCCTATGGAAAACCTGATTTAGCCAAATAATCTATAACCTGAGGAATATTTTTCTATAAAAAAAATTCTCAGAACCCCGAGGAATACCTACTTACTTAGCTGGCTTGTGAAAGCACTTTCGTTCCATAAGCCGAGCTTAAAAAGATTTCCAGGCGCGTCGGCCTTTTGCGCAGTTTTTCCAATGCCTTCTGGGCTGGGCCATCTTCATCCATTCTCATAACATGACCTAGCCAACGTTGTCGCTGCAGCTCAATACGTCTAACAATGTCGATGTCCGTGAATAGCTGGTACAATTCATGGTTCATACGACGGCGATATTCACCGTCAACCCAGATCGGCCCATAGATCTTTCGGAGAATTTTTCTCTCAAACACTCCAAGAGCTGCCTCATCTGCTTGCGTAAGTGCCCATGCTTCAGATCCATATAACAGCACGGGTAGTATCAGTGTCTTGTAGAGTGTGAGTTTGGTCTGGCGGGAGATGGCCTTGCTTTTGAGTTGTTTACTCAGACCATAGTAGCATCGGTTGGCCATCACTATTCTTCTCCGAATTTGAAAACCGATGTCCTTTGTTTTATTTATGGCGGTACCAAGGTATATAAAATCTTTGACTACCTCGAAGCTGTAGTTCTCAAGTTGATACCATCAGCTTGGTCTTCTCGCCGTTTACTGCCAGACACGTTCTCAATTTGTTCAAAGGTGGCTGTTACCGCTATCAATGTTCGACCCATTATGTCTATGTCATCGGCGTAGGCGAGTAACATGTGTTGTTTGGTGTACAGAGTGCCATTTCTGTTCACTTTTGGCTCTCGTATGACCTTTTCCAGCAGGATGTTAAAAAAGGCACACGACAAACTTTCACCTTGTCTGAATCCTCGTTCGATATTAAAGCGCTCCGAGAGGTCCTTTCCGACTTTAACTGCTGATCTTGTGCCTGTTAAAGTTATCCTGCATATCCGAATTAATTTTGCAGAAATTCCAAACGCAAACATGCCTTTATACACCTCTGAACGGATAGGGCTGCCGAATGCGCCTTTATTGTCGACAAATAGGTGGAATGTGTCGATGTGTTTTTCGTGGGTTTTTCCCAGGATTTGGCGCAGAGTGAAAATCTGGTCAATGGTGGATTTGCCAGGCCTTAAGCCACATTGGTATGGTCCAATAATGTAATTGACTATTGGCTTCAGTCATTCACACAGCACGCTGGATAGCACTTTATATGCGATGGGAAGGAGACTTATTCCTCTATAGTTGGCACATATCGTCTTTTGTGCACGGGAGACAGGATGCTGAGGTTCCAATCATTGGGCATGCATTCTTCTAGCCAAATTGTACTAATTAGCTGGTGCATGCTCCTTACCAGCATCTGACAACCAGTCTTGAATAGTTCGGCATGTAACCCATCGACACCTGCTGCTTTATTATTCTTCAGCCGATTGATTGCAATTCTGACTTCATCTTGGCTAAGTGGTATACACTCTATACCGTCATCTATTATTGGTTCTGGGGTATCCACTTCACTGCTACTATTTGATACCAGAAGTTGTTCAAGGTGCTCCTTCCAGATCCTCAGCACGCTGTCTGTATCTGTTGTTGTTGTTGTAGCAGCCCTATTGCTTTTACACAATGGGCTGAGGTGACAGACGTTGGCCGAGTAAGACTCGGGTCGTTTCGGATCGTAGACCCCTCTGTCGTGGAAACGTCTGTATCTGTCATCAGGTTTCCTTCATCATCTCTACAGGAGGATGTGCCTGCACCAAAGCCTTCGGTTTGGTGTTTTACCCGTTGGTAGAATTATCGGACTTCATTCTGACTCCTGTACATCTCGATTGGATCACGCTCACGTTTTTCTAGTTCTTTCTTCTTTTTTCTGAAAATACGTTTTTCCTCTCTCCTTTTCTCACGATAGTTCTCCATCACATTACGTGTTGCTACTGTCCGCAGTGTTGCCCTATACGTTGCGTTTTTCATATCAGTAGCATTACGACACTCCACGGATTTCTTGATGGTGGTCTTTGGTACCCAAGTGTTGCTTTTGCTGCAGTTTGTGGGGAGTGGACAATTCTCTGCCATTATGCTTCTATATTATTATCTGGACAAGGGGTGTTTTCGTCAAGCAGTTGGGTAAGTTGAGCGGAGTAGGCTTCTGCTATCTGTTGTGTTTGCAGCTTTTAATGTCAAATTTCCGTGTTACATTACGATCGCACCTTTGCTGCTACATTAAGACGGGTGTTCGTACCTTGGCTGCCACAAGGTAATGGTAGAATCGATATTCTCCCCGGATTATAGCAATTCGCCCAACACTGGATGAATGCCTTTCGTCTATCACAACATAATGGATTTGATTTCTCGTTGTTCGATCGGGAGAAATCCAAGTGGCCTTGTGTATATCGAGATGCTTGAATCTGTGCTGCTACATACCATGTTTTTTGCTGTCGCGAAGTCAATCAACCTTATGCCGTTGTCTGATGTTTCTTCAGGGAGGCTGAATTTTAATGTCATGGCCAGGGCAACGATCAATGTTGTTTAAAATAAAAAAGAAAATTATTAACCTTTAAAGGGGATTAAGGAAAAATAGCTGATCGTGGGATAAGAAAATATCATTTAAATCAAAACGTAACCTAAAATTTTGATTTTTGGTTAGGTTGTAATTTTTCATAAAATAGTTTTTTTTTCAAAAAATAATAAAATATAAATCCCAATTTAAAAATTAATTTTTAAATAAATAAAAAAACAGAAAAAAATATATTTTTAATTTAATTGTTTTAAAAAACAAAGAATTTATTTTTTTTCAAAATATGTTATGATTTTTTTAATTTTTAGTTTTTTTTCTTATTTTTTAATTTTGTTGTTTTTAAATTATTTATTTATACAACTTATATTTTGAGCTAATTGTTTTTCTTTTTTGTTTCTTTGTTAACATTTTATTATACTATGCGGGGTATTTTTTGTTGTTGTTGGTCTTATATCTGTTATACAGAAATAACAATTAAATAATTAAATTAAATTTAAAAAATAACTTAAAAATTAATGACAAATAATAAAAATAATAACTATATATATATATATATATATATCATTTATATACTAAATATTTATATTTTATATATCATTTTTTTATTTTAAATATATTATATATATTTTTGTATATATTTTTTTGTTTGTATATATAATGTAGTATGTATATATAAATATAAATGTATGTTTTCATAGGAACTCTTGTTGATTTGTTGTCTAAAATTTGATGTTTACGATTTAATTGCAAAGTTTTAATATCCAAAGGATTTAGTTTTTTTATTTCTTAAGAGCAAGAAAAAATAGGAATGTTTTTTAGGTTAGGTTGAGAAAAA